TTGCAGCAAATCTTCATCAGAGTTGTTTTGCTTGCAGCAAGTATCAATCATGGATAATATTTCCTAAAGCTAGAACCAATGTGTATTCTTTAAATATGCCAGCCGACCCAAAACATTTATAAGAACAAAGGTCATCCTTCCCTTTGAAATGGTCGGCAAAAGGTTCTCCATGATTGATACTTGCTTTCTTTGTATAAACAGGAGTGATAACGGAACATACACAGTACGTAATTTCTTCTTTATGTTCTCAGTTACATACTGTGTCCCCCTAGTTGTCTTTTAATCATGAAAGCCAGCATACAGACATGATGGAATATTTTGGAAATAACATGAATATAGGTTGATCAGAGTGGAGAATAATGTGTACCATACTCACAGAGTCCTCTGAAGAAGTGTATCACATTCACCTGTTCTATGATACTCCATCCTTAACCACTTACCTAGCATGTTTATATAGCTGGTGTCTGTTGTTAACCATTAACCTGAGCAAATATTCATTCTGTGTCTGGGACAGTGACCAGGCGTTATTAATTGGATTTTTAGCTAGTCTCTGCAGTTTGTTCATAGGGGCTGGGAGGTTTTCAATAACAATCTTTGACCCTCTCAAAATAGATGATATGGGAGAACAACACAGATGACAAACAAAAATACAACCTCCAGTTCCAGTATGACTCATATTTTATGCCCTTCCATGGGGTATCTTTAGCATATACTGACATCCTACCACCTAAGACATGCCTCATAATTGGGATGAACTTTAAATACATTGTAGAATATCCTAGATGGCTCTACCAAACCATGAATATGGCCCAGTTATTTAACAATTCATGATGTTCAGATAGATTATTTTACCTTTGCTCACCAGCCCCACTCTTTATCAGGTTCACAAAGTTAATTATATTATCAACTATGCTGATGTTGATTTGAAACCCATTATTAACTCCTTATTTGGGAGACAATTCACTCAATTCTTGGCAAATTCTCCCTTCTTGTTTCATAGCACCACAGGACGTCAGTCAATTCTTGCACAAATGGCTCCTTGTGTACCAATCAATTCATTCCAAGATCGTTTACGTTTACTTGGCTCACACATAAGACTCTTAACCACATTCTGGAATTGTTCAGCCAATCAGAAGCAGAATAATCAAGCCCGGTATCCCTGCTCCCAACTGAGCCAGCCTCTCCAGAAGGATACCGTGGACAATGGTATCAAAAGCCACCAACACATCCAGGAGATTGAACAGAGATGCACTCTGCTTGTCGGTCTCCTTGTGAAGGTCATTGGTCAGCGTGACCAAGGCTGTTGCTGTCCCAAAACCAGACCTAAATTCGAATTAAAATGAGTCTGGAAATAAAAAGTTGGAAATGTGTTTAAAATTCTACAATTAGGCAATGATATTTTTTTCAGGGAATGTTTCCAAGTAACATTTGATCTTAACAGAACTTCTTGATTACAGTTTGGTGGATGTGACAAATTAATGGAGGTGTGGTCTATCTGTGGTATATGATGGCTAAATGGAACTTTCATGTTCAAAGGCAGAAGATATTATCTGGGAAGGGACAACGGGATGGTAGGAGCTTATCTACAGGCATAACCAATGTCCAATATTGATTGTTAACCAGTAAGCAGAGCAAACATGCATTGGGAAATGGATTTAGAGAACAAGATCTGAAGCAATACATTTGCCCCTACAGTTTGCACAATTATGTCAATACTCGAGGTAAGGGTCTTTTGAATGGTCCCTAACCCGAAGGTCTCATGCCACTCATTCTTCTCTTAGCCCAATTTGAACCAATGAGATTACTCTGGATTTCCTAAGACCAGAGGTTTTTTCCCTATATTTGTCTTGCAGATTATGACAGAGGACTCTATTTCAAAATTGTCCTTGGGACATCAAACCTCACAATATGCTGCCCAATTATGCTTCTTTTATAATAGACCTATTCTTATTCCATGTGTTTCCTGAGGCTGTAGGAGGACTGAACAGGCAAGACAGCTCCAATCCTGATGTCAGAAACCCAGAGAAGAGATTATTTTTACCATACGATTTTATATGTGTAAAGTATCATGAAGTCACAGCCAATTTATGGTGAGTCCTCATAGGGTTTTCAGGGCAAGTGAGAAGCAGAAGTGGTTTGCCATTGCTTCCTCTGCATAGTGACCTCGGCCTTCCTTGGTGGTCTCCCATCCAAGTACTAACCTAGGCGACCCTGATTTAGCTACTGGGATCTGATGAGGTCAAGGTAGCCTGGGTCATGTAGCCTGGGCTATACCATATATTTCTTTTGTAGTCGGCTCTCTGGGAACTGCTTGGCTGAAACTGTCAAATCACATCACCAGTTTTCCTCAAAGGGACCTTGCACAAAATACAGTTTGGGTGCTTGCCCCGTAGTCAGTTCTGAGACGATAACTACATGGAAATGCTGCTGTCTGTCCTCCTGACATCTGATGTGTTGAGGTTTGTTAACATGGGACATGGGCTTTCCTGCAATGACACCACAATTCTGGTGTTTCTTCTCCAATGATATTTGCTCTGCTCCTTCTTTGTTGGCCTTCAGGTACCAGACACATTTTGTCCTGTGATATAATCCATTTTATTTGGGGTCACGCACACTAAATAGTCCACTTTGAATCCACTTTTCAAGCAGATTTTACTGTGTGAACTGGCAAAATCCAGTTGGAAAGTGTGCTGGAGAACAATTAAAGAAAAATATTATAAAGAAATACCGTCCTGGGTATCACCATTAGAAGCCTTCATATTACCAGCGTTGTTAACAAATGAAAAGAGAGTAACATATGAAACACTGCTAACTGAAGATAAAGATAAAAACCTGAAAAAGTTTGAGACTCTACAAGAAATGAACATAAACCTTACAACTTGGGAAAGGATGCAATTGGAGTCAAGATATATTAAAGATTAAAAAACAAATTTCTCCAAAACAAAGTCTGAGTTGGATAAGATCTGGTTATCATCTGCAGATAAGCAAATTCAAAAATTATATAATTTTTTATTGGGCGACAGTATGCAGGAGGTAGTAATTAAACCTTGCATGAAAGCCTGGGAACTAAATATAGGCCACTCAATAAAAGATGAGGAATGGGCAAAAATGTGGAAATCTGCAAAAATAGTAAGAGCCACGCCATACAAAGAAAACATATTTAAAATGTTTTACAGATGGCACTGGACCCCAGATAAACTATCAAAATGTTACAAAAATGTGTCAGATTCTTGTTGGAGATGTAAAAATAACAGGAACTTTTTACCATACTTGGTGGAGATGTGAAAAAATATGCAATTTTTGGAAAATGGTAAAAAAGTTAATAAAAGAAATAACAGATATAGATCTGCAATTTGTTCCAGAAACTTTCCTTCTAAACATGATATCAGATAGACTGAATAAAGATGATCACTGCGTTATTTTATACATTCTCACAGTAAGTAGAATCCTCGTAGCAAAGAAATGGAAAACAGATAGAATACCTAGAAGAGAAGAGATAACCGAAAAAATCCTTGAAATAGCGGAAATGGACAGATTAAACCAGATACTGGCAGGGAGAGATGATAATGCTTTTAAGAAAAGATGGATTAAAGTAAATAAATGGTTGGGAAAAATGTATAATGTACACTCCAAAGAATGTAATATACACAATGTATTTTTTATGTATAATGAAAAATACATCAATAAAATCTTTTTAAAAAAGAAAAAAGAAAGTGTGCTGGAAGTGCATTATTTCATGTTTGTGACTGCAGTCCATATCTACTTAGGATGTTTTGTGCTGCTTTTTGTTCTTGTATGTATGATATTGGGTTGTGAGCTGCCTTGAAGATCCCTTTTGTTTGAAAGGCAGGCTACAGATAATGGAACAAACGAACACATGACGTTATATAAAACTAGCAGTCTTTTGTAGCAAACCTGCATCAATAATATCACTTCATCTTCCGGTTGATGGCAGCGCGCTAGCAGACTCACCTCCAGGAGGTCTGAAGGCTCGCTTACCCCCCCAGGGGCCCGGTGAAGGAACCCTGGCCATGGAACTTCTAAGAGGTTGCCTCTTCGACGGCGGAATGCCGGAGAATTGAGGCGCCTCTTCGTTCCGAAGGTCCTCTGTGCTGTGAGACCAAATGGGCTTAGTGACGCTAACCGGGGCAAGCGCAGGAGATCGAGCGATAAAAATGAAGTTGAAAGCGGGGTCAAACGACCAATTATGAACGTGAGTCAACTTTAAAGCTATTTTAAAGAAAAAGATAGCTCCCCACCCCACCAAATGGGAAAAAGGCGAGCGGGGGAGGGACGCCTCCCATGCCCATGGACTTTTGAACGATTCAGGGGGGGAGTGGAAGAAAACGCGGAGAAAACTGACGAGAAGTACTTACCATAACGAATTTAAGCAGTCAAGTGCACTTTCAGAGACTTTTAAAAAGTTTGCGAAAGTAAACAAACAATAAAGATGGCGGGGAAGAAGGACAAAGAAAAACTTTTGAAAGCGAAAGGCTCAGAGAGCCCGAAACCGGAAGTGACGAGTGAGGTGGCTAAATCTATTGCGGAGTACATGTGTCCTCTGCTGGAACAGCTGACTAAATTCAAGGAACAGATGTCCATCGTAACACAAAATATTACAGCCCAATAAACCCAGTTAAACGACATGCTGCAAATAATGAAGCAAGATACTGAGAAAGTAAAGGAGGTGGCTGCAACTACACAGAAGGTGAAAAAAAAAGTGTAAAAGTTGGAAAGAAAACAAATTTCCATGGAAGATCAACTTCTACAAGTGCAAATAGAAAAGGCCAATATGATTCTTCACTTCCAGGGCATGCCAGAATAATCGGGGGAGAATCTTAAAGAAGTTATGAGTAAATTGCTAGCCCCAGTGGCGGAAATGAAGGCAGAAGCATTGCTGAGCGATATGGATGTAGTTTATCGATCATATTCAGGCTACATAAAGAAAAACAACCTGCCTGGGGAAATTGTTGTAAGATTCTCAAAGAGGCATGCAAGGGATGCAATCCTGAAAGCGGTTTCTGGAATACCCCTGAAAGTAGGGGAAAACACCATCAGAACACTAAAGGATATTCCATTTTAAGTACGTCAACGGAGAAAGAAGTATAAAGAACTTGTGCTTTTTCTTCAGACAAACTTAATTGGATATAAATGGCTATTTCCAGAAGACGTTACTTTCAATATTAAGGATAAAAAAGAAAAGATTGACTCTGTTCTGAAAGCTCAAGAATTCTTAAGGGTGCAGCTGGGAAAACCAGAGGACCGGGAAAAAGAAGAGGACAGCGAGTCTAGCGGTGAGTTGGATTTGGATTCTTCCGGAGAGGACTCTCTGATGAAGCAAGGGGCAGCTGCCCCGAAAAGTCCTTATAAGCTGTGGAAGAGAAAAGGAAAAGAGAAGTAAAGACTGAAGGACTCTGAATTGTGCCTTTGAGAACTGTGTTTGGTGATGATGGGGGGGTTACTTCTTTGACAGTTAAGCTTTAAGAGTTAATGGAAAAGAAATGTAATTAATTGTTTGACTCAGTTTATATTGAACTAATTGATGTGAAGACTGGATGTAACGAAGCTAGTGAGGATCTCCTCTCTTGGGTTTTTAGTTAGTAGTGGGTTTCTTTATTTTATCTCGTAAATGTAGTTCCCCTCCCTTTTTCTGTGATAGTTTTTTGTAGTAATATTAAAACAAAAATAAAAAATCCCCTCCGGGGGCTTGAAAAAAAATACTATCACTTCATGTTTTACAAATATTTAATGGATCTAGTAGTCGTCTGATTTGTTTTCCTCAACCACGATTTATGACCTGATGTTTAGTTTCTATATGCTTACAATGTTTGTAAACCAATACCCTGCATGATATCTTTAGACACGTCTGAAATAGTTCCAGCACAAAGGAGTGTTGCTCTGGTAGAACATGTAACTCTTTCTCTAGAGTGAAGGTCCCTGACTCAATGGAAGTTTCTATGCAAGTAGGACAAATTCATGAGATCCAATGCACCATTTAACTTCTTTTTTGTCTGAGAGGCTGAATGCCATGCTGCTCAAAAGACATTTGGATTTTTTTAAATTAAGGACGCCATCATTTCCAAACTCTATTCATTTCCTTCTTCTTTTTTTTAAACCCCCAAGGGATATTTTTTATTTTGCAATAGACTACAGAACTACAAAGAAAATATTAGGAAGGGAACTACAACTAGAGACAAAGGAAAGATAACCACACTATGCTAAAACCCCAAGAGGAGGAGATCTTATCCCTGTTAGTATGAGTGTTAGTACCAAAAGTGTTAATATCACAATATACTTGTAGAGTTCTTGTTTATCACCACTTCAAATGTGTTAATATGTTAGTTGTTATGAGAGAACTTTCTGATCATCTTCTTGTTCTTCGCTTTAAAAAGGCCATTTTCCGAGTCCTTCTGCCTTCATTTCGGCTTTCTGTCTCTAAAATCGTATACAACTCTGGCGGAACCTGTACCTGTTTCTGCAGCAGAGTCCTCTTCCGTTCCAGAGGTGGCAGAGTCACTAGATTTGGTTTCTTCCTCCTTAGACTCTTCCTCCGTTCCCAGCTGACGCCATAAAAATTCTTTGGCTTTGAAGGTAAGGTGGAGTCTATCTTCCCTCTTTTATCGTTGATTTTAAAGATGACATCCTCCGAGACCGCCCATCTTTACGATATTCCATTGGTTTGAAGGAAAGAAATTAGATCTTTATAGTTTTTCCTCTTTTGTCGAATTTCAAATGGAATGTCTTTTTAAGTTTTGATTATTACATTTCCCATTTTCAGTGGAGTTGCTGATGTCACTTTTAAGATGGCATCTCTGGTTTGTCTTCTTGAGAATCTGACCACTATTTCTCCAGGCAGGCTATTTTTTTAAATATAATTGGAGTATGCCCTGTAGGCTAGCTCCATTTCTTTTACAAGTTCATCCGCTGTTAAGCCTATTACTGGAGTGATGATCTCGCTAAGCACCTTCCTCAGGTCCTCCCGCTCTGCTTCAGGAACTCCCTGGAACCTGAGAATCATGTTGGCTTTTTCCATCTGTAACTGCAACAAACTATTTTCTTGGACTTTCTGCTTCGTTTCCATTTCTCCCATTCTTTTCTTCAATTTCTTGCTTGTGGCGTCTATCTCTTTAATTTTCTCATTTGCCTGCTCCACTTTTTTCTCCGTTTCATTCAGCTGGAGCTGTTGAGATGCAAAGTTCTTATTCATCACGGTCAATTGCTGGTTAATACCATCGAGTTGTTCCATCACCGCCTTAAGCATATCTACTAGCAGTTTAATGATGTCTGCTCCCTTTTCCGGTTTTGGGCTCTGACTGCCCAGCGGTTTCATTTTCAGCTTTCTCTGCTGGACCGCCATTTTCTCCATTTTGTTTACGGTTTCTACCGCTTCTACATGCCTCGAAAAACTCGCCCCACGATGACGAAAATCAAGTAAGTCTCTCAAAACACACTCGTTGTATTTCCTCCCCTCTCCCCCTTCGTATCGCTTATCAGTTCATTTGCATAAGTTCATTCTTTGCGACCGCTTTTGTCAGTGGAGGGAGGGGATTTGCTTTTTAAAGTAATCTGATTTATTCTGAACTCACGTTCATTGTCGGTCAGTTTCTCTGACCGTGCTCATAAATTGCCATTCCGCTCGATCTCCGGCACTTGTCCCAGTCAAACCAGCTAGTGCCTGAGCGCCACTCAGCGGCTGGACCATCAGGGTGGAGGGAAGCCTCAATTCTCCAGCATTATGCCATCGAAGAGGCTACCCCTCAAAAGCCCCCTGGCCTGGAGCCTATCACAAAGGTTCCATGGGGTGTCACTTAAGGTGGCACCCCTCCAGGCCGCTGGTGTGCAGATCGCTTTCCCATGGCTCGGGGAGAGCGTCCACCATCGCTGTTTCATAAACTGGAAACCAAACTCTATTCATTTCCAAACATACAGCCTTTCTGCATTCAGTCTTTACTCATGATTTTCCCAGAACACGAGGCTTTTGATTCAGATCATTTCCTTTCATTCTGCATATGTAATTATTCTTTGGCACTTCTTCTAAATTAAGGCATAAGCTTCAAAACCAGCACATCCAGACTGTGAAAACTGTGAAAATCAGAAATCAGTGGCTTGAGACCTGGTGGCTTAGACAATTTTCAAGTGACCCTTTATCTTCTCTGCTGATACATTTGCACAACAACAGCAACATACCCATTGCGTCATGTTTTGATATCTATTACCTTTGGATAATCCATATTTGCACTGCTTAATTGTTAATGTGAACACTGGGCATTAGTTGTCTAGTACATAAATAATTAATCATGGACCACAGAAATGCCATCAGATTCTCTTGGGGGTTCTGTGAGTATGATATACCTTAGTCCGCTATTATTCAAGCCCCTTACTGCCTGTCCAATTTGCTCCCGAGCATGGTGTAGTGGTTAAAGTGGCATACTCTAATCTGAAGAACTGGGTTTGATTCCCCACTCCTCCACATGAATCCTGCTGGGTGACCTTGGTCCAGTCACTCTTCTCTCAGAATGCTCTCAGTCCCACCTACCTCTCAAGGTGCCTGTTATGGGGAGAGGAAGGGAAGGGGATTATAAACTGGTTTGAGACTCCCTAAAGTACAGAAAAGCCAGGTATAATATCCAACTCCTCCTCCTCCTCCTCCTCCTCCTCCTCCTCCTCCCCCTTCTTCTTCTTCTTCTTCTTCTTCTTCTTCTTCTTCTTCTTCTTCTTCTTCTTCTTCTTCTTCTTCTTCTTCTTCTTCTTCTTCTTGGATTAAAGCCACCAGGGCTGATTTAATCAAAAGATAAGGTTTGGATTCAATAGGATTTATTGCTTATGTTGGATTTGCAGTTTTATTCAGCACAGGGATTTCTTCCACACCTACAGTTCAATCCTAAAATCTCTTTCCCAGAAGTAAGCCCCACTGAATAGATCTGAGTAGAAATCTGAGTAGGTCTGAGTTTGACACTAATATATATTCTTCTCTGTTGTTGTTGTTTTTAATGCAGAATTTTTACAGATCCCAAGGAAGTCCATAATCTCTCTCTCCTTGTTCTTAATTGTTCTTCAGGTCCATTGTCACCACATCCCAGGGCACCACGATGAACCCAAAAGTCTTCCAGAGCATCAACATCACCATTTGGCAAAAAAAAAATTTAAACAATCAATTGCCAATACGGGAGCACATTCAGCCTATGCTGAAGGCATTGCCCTGGCTACTGATAGCATACCGAATTCACTTTAAGGTGCTGTTTTTACCTTTAAAGCCCTTTATGGTCAGGGACCTACATACCTGAGGGACCGCCTTTCCTCACATGTTCCCCAGAGAGCACTGTGATCAGGATCTCAACATTGACTCACCCTTCCTGGACTAAAGGATGCCAGGCTAGTTTCAACCAGGGCCAGGACTTTCTCAGTGGTGGCTCCTCTCTGGTGAAACGAGATCAGGGCCCTGCAGGACCTTATGCCGTTCCGAAGGGCTTGCAAGATGGAGCTGTTCCACCAGGCGTTCAATTAGGAGCCGCCCCAGGGGGAATGCCCTGTCCCATGAAATTTTGAGGCAGCCTGAGTCACCTGCACAATATTAGATCAAGATCAACCACCAGGCTGGCACGGAAGTCTGAGCACCACCCCAAATGTAACGCTAAACTATTATTTGTTTAATGGTCTTATTTTTATTGTCAGCACCTTTTAATGTTGTAATTGTATGGTTTCATGATCACCGTGCTATTTATTGTTGTTTTTATCCTTTTGTAAGCTGCCCTGAACCAGCCGTGGCTGGGAGGGCGGGGTATAAATGTAACAAACAAATAAACTACCTGCCTTTAATAGAGATTTTGCATTCAGATTGTACAACCACGTAGCTTCAGATCCAGCAAGCAAAAATATTTTCTTCTCTCCCCTCAGCATTTCCATAGCCTTTTCCATGCTGGCCTTGGGTGCCAAATCTGAAACCCAGAGTCAGGTTTACAAAGGACTTGCTTTCAACCTCTCAGAGACTGAGGAAGAGGAGATCCACAGAGGTTTTCAGCTACTCATCCCCATACGGAATGATCCAAATAACACAGCACAGGTGAAAATAGGAAGCAGCTTTTTCATACAGGAGTCACTGAAACTGCTGCCTAAATTTCTGGAGGATGTCGCTACATTGTACAATGCAGAAGGTTTTACTACCAGCTTTGAGAATGCGACAGTGGCTGAAAAGCAAATAAACAATTATGTGGCAGATAAAGCAATATATCCCATGCAACTGAAGGGCTCGATTCAGGAACTGTAATGGTTCTTCTGAAAAACATCTTTTTCAAAGGTAAGTTAAGTAATAATAAACAGCATTCAAAATAGTTTAAAATCTGTAGAATAGCTAATATCTGCAGAACCAGTATATATATGTGAATTCAAATGTGAATGCACACATGAATGTGTAAGAATAGCCTAAAATAGCTCTTGGAAGCTAAGCAGGGTTGGTCATAGTTAATATTTGGATGGGAGGCCAGCAAGCAAGATGAACCCACCTTTTACATTGTCACAGTAGTGGTGTCAGTTTATTGTATTCCCCACATGCCTTCAATAAAGAGGATTTTTTAAAATTTGTATTTTGTTTTATTGAAGAATTTTATAATTTAGCAACACCACCAAAAGTATTAATATTATGAAAAACAAAACTTCACTAGCATGCTTTATTTTCGTATCATCTTCATCTTCTTTCTTCCTTCTTCTCCCCAAATTATTACATAATGTTTATAAGATTTTCAAACAATCTTACCTCATTATAATAGATTTACAATATATTATCAAATTAATCTTTGAACTATATTATAGTTAAACTCAGTCCTAGGAGGCCTCAGGGGTCAGGAGGGAAAGAAACAAACTCTCCTTCCAAGGACCGATTAAACCTTGGGGGAACATACCCAGACACTTTCCACAGTCCCACCACTCTTATAGCATCAAAAAAAAAATTATATTACCCAAATCCTAATTTTAAACAGAGTCTAAACTGTCTTCAAAATCTTCATGGTCTCCAGGAGTACAGACTTGAGTCGTTTTAACTGACATTAGAGGAGAGCGTTCTTTCCTTTTGCCGGCTCTGTTTTCTTGGGATTCCGAAGGAGAAGAATTTAAGGCAGCCAGCGTTAGTTCACCTGAGGCAGAGTCATAGGCATTGTAAGAAATTGAACTGTGTTGGACACACAGCTTGCCCATACGGAGCCATCGATTTTTCATTCCTAAGTCCTGCAGTTTAGTAGTGGTGTCTTTAAGATCTCTTCTAATCTTTGAAAATTCAGGAGGGAGATCCGGAAAAACTTGAATCTTCAAACCCTGAAAATCAAGACCGCCTCTCTCTCTAGCCTCTGAGAGGATCCTCTGTTGTGTTTGAAAGTCCTTAAATTCTACAAGTATATGTCTAGTGTATAATGAGAAAGTAGATACTTCACATACCTTACCAATGCGGTAAGCTCTCTATAGAAGGAGAGTAACACCAGCTTTGAGGCTTAAAGTGCCCGCTATCCGATTCACCATAAATATATTCAGCTGTGTTCCAGCTTCAACATTTGATTTGAACCCCCTGAACTTTAGGCACAACTGACAACTACAAAATATGTCCCCGTGCCCAAGCATCTGAGGTTCTCATGGGTAATTGACTTTCGAACTCAGTAACTTTCTTGAGAGCTTTCTCTGCCTTTTGGTTTGACTATTTCTGAAGCTTTCTAACTTGTCCATACGTTGGAATGCTGGTTTCAGCATTTCTGTAATACCATTTCTCAGTTCCTGACATTGTTTGGTTAACACATGCATCAAAAGGTTTGCAGTAAGTGGGCTCTCTTCAGCCATTAGCTCACCCCTCCCCAGCATTGCAGATGAGGTAGATGGTGCATCTGTAGCTAGAAAAAACTCTGTTAAATGCAAAACACTTTCTTCTTTTTGTTTTCCCTTCTTACCACCTTTAGGCACCATAGTTCAAAATAAGTTTTTTTTTGCATTGGAAAGGGTTAAAATATTCAAATCTTGAGTGGGCAGATTGCGAGCATTGGGTACTGGCTGCTGACCTGGAAGTTGATTGCGGCCACTCCCCCAATAAGGAGGAGTTTGAAGGGATGGTGCTATCATCATTGGTGGTGGCATCGATGGCATCACAGCACCTCCCTTTTTAAAAAACAGCACTAAAATATCAATATGTCACTATAGAATTGTAACAATAGGCTCAGTAGATTCTCTGAATTCCCAGTTCTTGTTTTAAAAAAGAAAAAGAAAAGTAAGTCTTGGGCCTGTTCCCCTGTGGAGATATGCCTGACTGTGACAATACTCTAGCAATATATTGCTATTTTAGTGCTGTTTTTTTTTTTTAAGAAAACACAATTACTCTTCTTCAGAGTGAAGTGAGGAGGAGAGGTGGTGGGTTGACCATGACAGTCCAATCATCAAAATGTGGGACGGAGGTTGAGCAAAAGGAGAGGGAGTGGAAGAATAAACAAGAAATTGCCCAGAAGTACTCATCCATCGAGCTATACAGATAAGCGCATATTCAGAGACTTTAAAATTTATTGTGAAAGCAAACAAACGAGAAAAAGATGGCGGGGAAGAGGGACAGAGACAAAGAGAAACTTTTAAAAGCAAAACTAGAGTCCCCACCGGAAACGACCAGTGAGACGATGAAGGCGATGACAGAGGTCATGCGCACTCTGCTGGAACAGCTCAATGTCTTTAAAGAACAGATGTCTGTTGTAACAGCGAATATTACTACACAACAAAAGCAGCTGCAAGTTGTGACAACAAGCATTACTGCTCAAAAAACGCAAATAACGGATTTGATTCAAGTAATGAAGCAGGATGCTGAGAAAGTAAAGGAAATGGCTAAGACAACACAGATAGTGAGGGGGAAAGTGCAAAAATTGGAAAAGAAAACTGTATCTTTGGAAGATCAGATGCTGCAAGTGCAAATGGATAAGGCTAATACGGTCCTGCGCTTCCAAGGGGTGCCAGAGAAAAGAGGAGAGAATCTTAAAGAACTTATGAGTGAGCTACTTGCCCAAGTAGCAGATATAAAGGTGGACTTGCTACTCAACGACATGGATGTGGCCTACAGGTCATATTCCGGATACATAAAGAAAAATAATCTGCCTGGGGAAATTGTAGTAAGATTCTCGAAGAGGCACGTCAGGGATGCTATCCTGAAAGCAGTTGCTGCGACACCCCTGAAGGTGGGGGAGAATGCTGTCAGAACGCTAAAGGATATTCCATTTGAAGTAAGACAACGCAGAAAGAAATACAAAGAACTTGTGTTTTTCCTCCAAACAAACTCAATTGGATATAAATGGCTGTTTCCAGAATGAGTAATATTCAAGATCAAGGAGAAGAAGGTCAAGATTGACTCTGTTCTTAAAGCTCAAGAGTTTCTAAAGGAGCAGCTGGGAAGGCCAGAGGACGAGAAAAAAGAAGAGGACGATAAGTCCAGTGGAGAGCTGGAAACTGGTTCGTCTGGTGAGGACTCTTTGTCTGAGCAGGGGGCATCAGCCCCGAAAAGTTCCTACAAACTGCGGAAGAGAGAGAAGAAGAAGTAAAGGCTGAAGGACTCTGAATTGTGCCTTTGAGAACTTTGGTTCTAGGGGATGATGGGGGGCACTGTTATTGGGCAATTAAATGTAACTGGGGATGGTTAAAAGATTGACACAGTTCATAAGAAGTACAAAGATGAAAAGTCTAAATGAAGTATAAAAAGCTAGTTGGAGATCTCCTCTCTTGGGTTTTTAGTTAGTAGTGGGTTCTTTACTTTCTCCCTTTCCCTTTCCCTTTTTTCTGTTCTAGTTTTTGTAGTGTTTAAAAAAATCAATAAAAAATCCCCTCTGGGGGCTTAAAAAAAAAAGTGGGACGGAGGTGCTCCGGACTCACAATCAGCTTCCAGGAAAAAACATCAGGGTAAAAGCGGTATCAAAAGAACCAAAAAAAAAAAAACCCAAGGGGAAAACAAAAACCAAAGTGAAAACTAAAGGAACAAAAATGTATGCAGAAATCAAGGGATAAGCCAAAGAATTATGGGGGCAGAACCAACTAAAAAAAGCCATGCTGCGGAGGAAGGCAATGGCAAACCACCTCTGCTCAAATCTTTTCTCAAAAATGCCATGAGGTGTCTCCATAAGCTGGTCGTGATTTCACAGCATTTAAATTATTTGTGTGTGTGTGAATAAACTGCTAGGCAATTGTAGCAATGTGGCCATCGGTACAATGGAGAAGAACAGTGGTCTGCACGCCTGTGGTTGGGTTTCAGAACTGCATATGGCCAGGGGTCATTTCGTAGAAAAAGAGCTAGGGGAACTCATTAGCATAACTTATTAGCATATGCCACACCCCCTGACATCAGGGGCCCGGCGGTGGACCTGCAAGGCCAGCGGGAGTGCGAGGAAGCCCCGCCAAGGCCCTCCCTGGCCCCAGGCAGGCAGGGGTGGGGAGAGGCGGGGAGGAAGCAACTTACCCTCCATCTTCTCCTGCCTCCTACTGGCTGAATGAGGGCTGGAAGCGGGGCGGCTGGAAGCAGGGGGCAGGGCTTCGTCATGTGCCCCGCCCCCTGCACCTCACCCGGGGGAACTGCGTTCCCCCGCGTTCCCCCCTTGAAATGACCTCTGCATACGGCAGAACGAAAATGGGAACTACCTTCGAATCCTGAGCTCACATTTTTAGAAAGAAGAGTATCCCAGCCTTTGTAGTTCATCACAGAGTGAAAATATAAAATGGATTGGAAGTTGAAGAGTTCAAAACTAGCAAAGGTCATAGATAAAGCATAAATTGTGGTCCTTTATTCAATGCATGCCCTGACCTTGGTGACCCGGTTAGCCCAGTCTCATCAGATCTCAGAAGCTAAGCAAGGTCAGCCCTGATCAGTACTTGGATGGGAGACCACCAAGGAAGTCCAGAGTCACTACACAGAGGCAATGGCAAACCTCCTCTGCTTGTCTCTTGCCCTGAAAACCCTACAGGGCCCCCATAAATCAGGTGCAAGTTGATGGCACTTCCTACCAATGTATGTCAGCCAGAGTTTCTTTGTTTATTTCAGTGTCTGGGATCCTGCAGAGGATTTCCACTGAGAGAAAGGAGAGTGATTTTCACTGATTCCTCCTTTTGTTGTTTTTTGGGAGGGGCGTCTTAGTCTCCCAAGAGCCTCATTGGGGGCACATTTTAGGTTGCAAAGGAAGAGGGAGGCAAAGAATTGCTGCTTGGTGGGATGTAAGCCAATGTTATTCGTGTTGCCTAGAAGAACTAGCATTTACTCCGGTTGGTTTTTTCCTA